AATTTCTAGTGGCTTGTGATCGGATTCTACCACAACTTCAGGCTGCCCGAAAAGATAGTCGCGGAATCTTTCACAGCCGTGGACAATTGCCAGCATCTCCTTTTCGATCTGGGCGTACCTTTGCTGTGTTTCTGTCAAGGAACGCGACGAATACGCTAGTGGATGCCCGTCCTGTATGATCACTGCGCCAACTCCGTTCTGACTGGCATCTACCGACAGCCTGATTGGTTTCCCCTTCTCGTAGTAGCTTAGTACAGGGGCTGTCGCAAGCGCTTCCTTCAGAGCCTTGAAGCTTGCATCTTGGCGGTCCTCCCAAAGCCACGCGACATTCTTCTTTAGTAATTCTCGAAGTGGTGCTGTTAGGTCCGACATATTCGGAATAAAGCGAGAGACAAAATTTACCATGCCCAGGAACGTCTGCAGCTCTTTCTGGTTGCTTGGCGTCTGGACTTGCAAGATGTCTTCTAGCCGCTGTGGATCCAGGCTCAGGCCGTCGCGCGTCAAAATGTGTCCCAAGTACCGGACGGACTCCTGTAAAAAACGGCATTTCTTTCTGTTCAATTTCAGTTTGTACTCTCGGCAACGTCGTAGGACGTGTTCAAGGTTTGCATCATGCTGCTCTCTTGATCGGCCCCACACTAGAATGTCGTCCATGACAACCGCTACGCCTTCGAGGCCTTCTAGCACGCGGTGCATGGCCCGCTGAAATATTTCCGGCGCCGACGAGATTCCAAAGGGCATGCGCAAAAATCTATAACGGCCGTATGGAGTGCACATAGTGCAAATCTTAGAGCTTTCTTTATCCAGCTTGATTTGCCAGAAACCGGAGGCTGCGTCCAAAGTTGTAAAGTACTGGGCCCCACTTATCGAAGGTGCTATGTCTTCCAATGTTGGCATGGGATAGTGCTCGCGAAGCAGAGCTTTGTTTAGGTCGGAAGGATCAAGACAAATGCGTACCTTCTCTCCTTTTGTAACAACGACCATGTTGCTGGCCCACTCTGTCGGCTCGGTCACTTTCACGATGACTCCAGCAGTCTCCATGCGGTCGAGCTCAGCTTTCACCTTGCTTTGCAATGCTATTGGAATCCGCCGTGCTGGTTTCACTACTCCCTGGGACCCGGGCTTGAGCTTTAGATGGTAGACAATACCCTCCAGTTGACCCAGACCTTCAAACACGTCTTCGTAAGGCTTGGCAGTGCCGTAAAGCTCTATTTGGTCGACAGAGCAGACACGTTGGATCAAGCCAAGCTCTTCGGCAACTGTACCGCTCAAGGTCACGGCGATTTCGTCATCCACGACGAAAAACTCTGTCAGAATCTTGCTTTCTCTCGTTGCCACTTCAAGACGAACTTGTTTCGTCGCTTTTTTCTGGAAGCCAAAAAATGTGTTTAAAACAACGTTGCAATCAAGTGGCTGCTTGTTTGTTATTTTCTGCAGCTGGCTGCGTGCTATAACCGAGCATGTTGCGCCTGTGTCTAACTTGCAAAAAATAGGCTTTCCTTCTATCTCAACGGTAGCCGTCCAGCGGTCGTCTTTCCCACGGGCATGCGATAGCGTTTCTAACCAGAAATCGCCTTCTTCTGCATCGACAGATGCTACTGCGTGCTCTTTCGAATGAAATCTTTTTTGCATCTTCTTGCAGGCTATCGCAAAGTGATTTCTGCCACCGCATTTCCTGCACGTGCGTCCCTTTGCTGGGCACACACGGTCGGTCTGATGAACCTTTGCGCACTTTGTACAACGCTGACCTTTCGCTTCAGATAGCGCGTTCATCTCGGCTGCGTAATCGCTTTTCGGGCGCGCCTGTATCTCTTCACACTGTTCTTTGCCATGTTCACGAGAGCGACACATTTCTACGGTCTTCGTGAAAGAAGCATTTTCGGAGATTAGCTTTTCTTGCAGCTTTTTATCTCTAATTCCGAGAATAATACGGCTTCTCAGCATACGCTCTTCAAGCTGCCCAAACTCGCAGCTTTTTGCTAGCACTCTGAGGTCTGTCAGCCAGTCATTGAAACTTTCACCGTCCTTTTGGTCGCACTTTCCAAAGCGGAACTCATGGTAGGCTAAGTTTAGAGCTGGTTTGTAAAATGCCTCAAACTTCATTTTCAGTACTTCTACGTCCGACTTCTCTTCGTCAGTTGCAAAATCAAGAGTGCTGTACGTCTTGCGTGCGTCCTCTCCGATAATCATAAGAAAGGTGGCTGCCTGTACCTCTTTCGGTTGCTGGTTCAGGTATGTTGCCGTTGCGAAGAGCTCGAACTCTTGCCGCCATGTCTTCCAGCTTCGCCATACGTCTCCTGTGGTGTCCAGGGCTTTCGGCGGTGGCAATAGCGTGGTGACTGGTCCGCTGGCCTGCTGGCGCTGTTCCCCGTTCTGCATGCTTGTAGCTGGTTGGGACCTTCGAGCCGCCCCTGTTGGCTTGCTACGCGTCCGCTGTTCGTTCGCCGGCTGCGTGTATCGGCTGCGGTCCGACCACTTCTGACACCATGTGGCTTGCACGGGTCATGTGCGTCGAAAGAACGTTTATTGAACGATAGCGCTCTCATATATACATTCTATGCCGAGGGGCGTTGCCCCCAATCTGGCGCACGTGTGCATGACTGTCACAATAATCATTTATCAGCCATCAAAACTTATAATCGCGTCCTTTCAGAGTGTGCGATAAAAGACTTCCGTTCAAGATCTCTTCGACTTAAATGAGTGGAGAGGAGCGCCGTTTTCATAAAATTGCGATCGCTCATTAAAAAATAAATTTAAAGTGTAGGGGGCTTATGGCTATTGAGAATGAGAAAGTTTTCGCTTAGTTTTTCGAGTTTTATTCTTTATTTCGGGCCTTTTGTTTTGACTTTTTTTCCTCCGTTCTTATTGAACCAAGCAAGCTCATCTCAACTGTGGATATGTACATGAATTAATATTGCAAATAAGAAAACGTGAATATGCCTTCACGTTTCCTCATTTTTTATCACATATTGTAGAGAGTACGTCATCTATAAAGCAATATTTATGTTCTAACTGAAGTTGTGGACACATTGATATGACTTAGCTGCTGCAGCTGCTTTTTTGAATCTGCACCAGCTGCATTTCTAGCTGTGCTAGGAAAACGCATTAAAAAGTGTTCAGGGGTCACGAATTTGTCGTTGCTTCATGGTATATCTTTTTTTCCTATGAAGTGGATGCCAATCTCAGAAAGATTGTTATGATTGTGCATATTTCCTATACATTTATTTCCTCCTTAACTACGTATCTGTTCGTGTTTACCACTTCAATTTGCATCTATCTGCTCGCAGTTCTTGGTTGCAATAGCTATATTAAAAGGTTAATAGAGAAGGGGCGCATGGCTCTTCTACTAAACTATGTTGAAGACCCAGATCCTCTGCTTATCAGCAGTACCTATCTGATCACACTGTTGCTAACGTTAAGCACCTCATGTGGGCCATCACTTTTCCCCTCGACAATAGGAAGACCTTAAGCATCTTTATAAACGCCAAACATATTTGCATATAATAAAACCCCCAGTGCATTTTTTTCATCTGATGCCGATGTGGTACATGCAATAAAATATTTATGACGTTTCCTTCTTTGTTCACTGCCTCAACACGTACGTAGTTCAAGGCCAGGTTCGCAGGCTCGGGTACTTGCTGCATACTGCTTTCTTCAGTTTGTACGAAATTTCCAATATTTTCTACCCTCTCCGCCTTTGGCGTTTTTGCATGCGGTCATGATGACATGGGAGTTTTCCCAGCGCCTGAATTTGCATTTTGCGCTTGGTTAACTGAACGAACAAAAACAGAGTTGCGGATGCCTAGCTGCTACTCGGGGGAAAAGTGTTTCCTGCGGCTTCATTTCGCCGGCGTTGTTTTGCTGAACCCAAATTTTAACTGTAATTGGAAATTCACAAGGCTATAGAAATCGTTCCGCATTCATGACGCTCTGTACTCGTCAACATTAGAGATAAGATATCTGACAAACTGCTTGTGTTATTCATAAAAATTAAGTACGTGTTGTAACTGACATTCGTAACTGTTCCAACGTCGTCATCGAACGCAAGAAAGAAAAATAACTTTAGGCGGGGAACTCGTCCTCGCCTAAACGACCGCCAGTAGCCCTTGGGTCCTGGTGACGTTTTGGTCCAGCTGGACGGCCCAGAGATTCTCTTCCGGATTCGATATTGGCAGTATGACCCCCCACTGCTCAGCATTGCTTATTTTGCGACCCTCTAGGGACACCTGAGGGCAAGCGCACAGAATGGGTCTCAGAATTGTCCTTCCCCTTGATAGTTGACATTTGCCATCGTATTGTGTGGGTGATAACGTCTGTAGTCTCCTGGAATAAGACAGGTGTTGGTTTGAAGTAGGGGCCAGACCACCGTCTTCTGCCTATTGAGCCTATAATTTATGCATTTTTATTTGCCCTTACAGAGGAATAATAGAGATTGCGTAGCGCGAATCGAGTGTGAAAGTGGTTACAAGTTACGCTTGAATGCTAAAAACGTTGAGTTTGAGTACACCCGTGCAGTACTCCTTTACGCTATCCCCATTTACACTATCTTTGCCTTTGAAGAAAAGCCATGTAATACACGTTAGGAGAGTATCAATTTTGCAACAGCTAATTAGACTTCGCCATTTAGTATTATATGAATGCCAAGTCTACAATGCATGCCTTCATATCAGCCACTGTGATCTTCCCAGGTTCTTGCTATAAGTATATATCTTCTACTGAATCATTCTCACATTTATTCATGTAACACAAAATATTGTAGCTGTTTTCAGACACACGTTGGTACAAGAAATTAGACAGCGCAAACCAACTACGCCTGGAAACAACCCGGCAGTTCGCCCAACAAGTTTTAATAAAGAGGGGCTAATATTGGCTACTTTTATGGCCTTCGCCTCAAGATCGCTACTTTCAGGCTATATTTCACAATTTTTTGTCTATATTTTGTCTTTTGGTGCGGAATGCATGGTGAACGGGTGTATTACTTTCACTCGACCCCTATACAGAAGGCCCAGAGACGCCCAAGACCAGCAATCACCACCAGTCGCAACAGCAGCAGCAGTCACACCCCCAAGTGGGCTCTAAGTCGGGCAGCTGCAAAGGATCCCACAGCAACGGCAAGGCGGACGACTACTGGATCACCCGCGAGACGGCCACGTAGCGGGAAAGCCCGGAGTCACCGTCGCCTGCTGCCATGGCTTACGCAGCGGCTTCGGCGACTCCCGAGCGTGCCGTCGAGCAGCAGCCGCCCATGTCCGCACCACCGTGCTGGTGGTCAGACACGTCGGCACGCCACACGACGCTCACCGCGGCGATGCCTGCACCGGGCCACGCACCTCCCGAACGAGAGGCTGTGGCGCTGGCCTCGTTTCATGGCGGCCAGCCTCCACCCCAGCGGCGGTTGCCGCAGCACCTCCACCTCGTGCCGCACATGCCGCTGCACGAGCTCGAGCTGCATCGGCGGTTCCAGCAGCAACAGGAGCAGCACCAGCAGCAGGCCGCGTGTGTCATATCGGCCAGAGTGGCGGCTACCCATGGAGGTGTCGACACCGGTTACGGAGTTTGAGGTACGAGCCCACACCGACTTACGGGACAGACTCAAATGAAAGAAGGTATCTGACGCGTACACAAAAAGCAAGTTGCATGGTAGTGATGATGCCAATCAGCAAAAGCAGATTTATTCGAGAAAAAAAACGACCTAGGTAAGACACACACACACACACACACACACACACACACACACACACACACACACACACACACACACACACACACACACACACACACACACACACACACTGACCCATAAAAATGCTGAAAGAAAGGTCAGTCGAACTTTCTGATGTGTTATACACGCACTTTTTTGTGAATCGTTCATGACTTGCACTGTATGAGCAGATAAATTGGACTTCTTTCAAGACTATCATCATATGGCAATAAAGGAGGTTTTTACATTTGGTTCGAATGTAGGGCAATAGAGAAGAGTAGAAAAAACGGGAAGTTGGCTCGAGGAATGGTGACGACATGCGATGAGAAAATGGCTATCTTTGACTCGAAGCATATTTTATTGCAAGCGTTGCAGTCTTGAGAGAGTATTGAGGACAAAGGCACGGGCCAAAATGAACTATTAGTACAGCGCGTATTACTTCAGTTTAACGAAATATGTTGCGTCACTCCAAGCCATTTGCCAAACAAGTCCTAGAGCTTCAAAGGAGGTAAAAAGCGATGACGCTTTTTTTCTTTTATGTGGTTTTATTTGGGGAACTGAGTCAATGAATGAACTTTTTCAGGCCCTTCGGAACGCGCTTTAGTACGTTGCAGGCTGCTCCCACGTCGGAATAGAAAGACCAAGTCTCTATGCTGCGTCGTGGGCCCGTTGGACTGCCCATAATTGTTGTTCAGGAAATAGCTATTTAAAAGTTTACGGGAAATCACGAGGTGCCCTGAGTGAAATTCCAAATAAATATTAAGGCTACCAAGTTCACTACTGAACATTCATAATAAGCCCAACATAAACACTCAGTACTCTCATTTCACCCATTTGATCAGTTCGCATCAACGGTCTAACTACAGGGTTGATTTGGGCGGGTGGAAAGTCCGATGTTGCATGCTTTCTGCATGCACGGACCTAAGAGCACATTCATGAAGATACATAATTGGGGGACAACCCTTCAAGAAAAACATTCGAGCAACGGCTGTAGATGGTGTGGTTGCAAGTACCCGAACAGGTATTTTTTTCATTCGCCTCTACTCCAGGCACTTTGAGCCCGAAACTCGGGAATATGCCCAATTGAAAATATTTGTAAAGCTGCCAGCGCACCTGCCTCAAATAAAAAAAATCTCCTTAACGTAGAATAATGGATCGTAACCGCTCCAGTGACTCCTACAAGTACATATATCTTTAAATTGCCATAATTTCACCATTTTCTGAGCCCCTGTCAAAGGCAGTGCTGAACATTGCCGTAACGATCACTTTCTGTCAGTCTATGGCAAGAGTAACTATATTCAATATGCTGAAATCTCGTAAGAGAAGGGTGTCTGCTCCAAATACTAATGGCAGCTGCAAGAAGGTTAAGAATTTGAAAAAAAAAATGTGCCTATTGCCGAGTAGCTATGCCGCTGGTGTGAATATGTACGTTTCAAAGTGTGGTGTGTGTGTGCAGAATGAAGATTCTCTTGGTATAGTTCCGTAATTAAAAAAAAGGTGTTTCTGGACTCGATAAGTTGTGAGATAAAGTAAAGAGCGTGTAAGAACGTCCTGTGTGTAGTGTCGTATTGTAATTGTGCACGCTCATATTTATCTTCAGGCATTTTCAAAATGTGGTTCATCATGCATTTCAGCACCATCAGCTTGGCTGTTGTGACAACATTCCTTAAGCCGTGTACGTACTTCTCATAAAGTACGTACTGCTCATAAATGAGGTTCCGATGTTATGAGCTATGGAAAATACAGTGAAATTTCTTCCACGAATGAATCTACTTTAACAGATGTGCTTCGGAAGAAGTAATGACGTACACGAGATACAACATCTTTCGCGAAAAGTGTGATAGCTGGCCATGCTGAAAGCTCGAGCGCACAGGATGAATGGTAGGAGGTTCGAGGCAAGCTGGGCAGCACATGGCAATTTTTCGTGATATACACATATTGTCAACAAAGCATATAGTTACTGGCGCATCACAGTCTTTTCTGCCTTTGTTTTTGTAGCTATCTGCACAACATTTAAACCGTGTGTGGGGTAATCCGAAATTTATCGTGACTGGGACACAGTGTGCTATGTTTTAGATAACGATATCCAAACTAGACAGTGTTGTTTGAAGCGCTGTTGAGAGATAAAGGCACCCTTTCAGCTTGAGCAATATCTTACATATTCAGTGAAGTGTGCTTTTTTTCAGCATGCTCGGTGACACAACTTCTTGATGATAAACATTAGAGAGGACCGAGAGCTGTGGAGGAAATTATTGAGTGAGTCATGTGGTACCGTAAAGTTGCTAAGGAAAAGTAGTGAAAAATATATGTTGAATTGTTTTTTTTATTCAGTTAGAGAACAGGTCTGAATGAAGCATCACTTAGGAGCCGTAATATTATTCCGAGTATTCATAAAAAAAATCGGTGAGTAATGCGCTTGTGACTTGACGGGTGATCAAAAAACTTAGACTCAGATTTCATAGTTGAGTGAAAAAATATAGCAAAAAAACAGCGCGAAATCCCACAATGACGTTCAACATTGGAATTAGTATCACTGCAGCGGCTGCCGTTTAAAGCAGGCAGTGCCCGTTATCCATAAGATATTCTTCATATCTCCAGCTATGTTATATGTTATATCTATGTTATATGTTATATCTATGTTATATCTGAAGCTATGCTACTTCGTGAAGAGCGTTTATTCACATCGCAGAAACCAGATTAGTTAAAAGCGAGAACCGAAAACGTATTTTCACACATGTTTTTATTCATAAACATGGGGGGAGAACTGTGAAGAGAAATTTTAATGAGCAGACTTATACTTACGGAAAAGGCCAGGGAGAGTGAATTTCGCGCGCCGCGTTGCGAGACTCAACCATAACCGTAAGTTTGCGGGCTCCGTTAATGCGGCTTTGCATGAACACGACTCATCTCGCCGACTACACACAGTGGCACACTAAAAATATGCACCCCTGCGATCCGTTCTGCAGTTTGCTTGTGCGCCGCGTGAGGCCACTTCATTTATCAAGCAGCGAGGGGACTTATATAAATGGACTAGCGCGAAACGCGGTCTGACGCACCACGCTCATCCGCACTCTTTTCTCCTAGGATTTGCGTTGTCTAGCACTACTGACGTACTCCGGGATAGCGTGTTCGTTATTGCATCGCCTACGTGAATACGAGTCTTCTTTTTACACCTCGATCTTTGTTACTAGGTTAATTTTGCGGTTTTCGTTTGTTGATCGGAACTTTGTTATTTTCCACTTTGGACTGCTCAATACTTCAGGTTCATGAAGACACTTACCTGTTCGAGCTACCGTGCAGCCTACCAGCTGCAGAAGACCTCTCGGGAGGGCGTTTTGTACCCTATCATAAGCGTTATTTTTCCGGGTTGGTTTTTGTTAACGGCGCAAATTCTTGGGGGATGTTGGTGCCAGATTTCGGTAAGCTTATCTGGTGCTGTGCGCATTGATGTTAACGGCAGGGGTGGGAAACCAGTACCACAGTCTCAGAAGGATGGAAGATAAGCTACCGTGCAACGCGAGGAGCGCATTATGAAGCGAGAAATGTTTCGGGTAGATGCCCTTAAGACAAACGTATAATCAAGCTGCGCTAAACTATTGCGGCATAGCAATCACAGATAGAAAGTTGGCGGTAAAAATGAGAAAGAAAGACTCCAAACAAAGCTGTGGTTATGAGTATGCAGTTTCATATTTCTCTCAGTGTGCTCGTTTGAACAGGGTTTCCAGGCACACCCGCTTATTATTTCAGCCACTGAAAAAAAAAAAGAACCGCGAAAGCAATGAGTTTTTCTGTTTTGTTTTCAATTTCACCATAGCAGGTTTGAGGCAGCTTTTAATTTCATCGCTTTCGTCAGCAGGAATAAGGATTCCATATGCTATATTTCACACGTTTGCCTCTTACACACAGAAAGAAGGACACTCTTGTACGGAAAGAATAGGCTAAAGCAAAATCAGCTTAAGGAGGTTCCTCTATGTGTCGCAGCATATAAAATCCAACAAGCAAATTACACAGATCTGCCAATAATGTCCATCAGTGCATAATACAAATATCTAATGTTATCTATTTACACAAAAATGTATGAACAGTTAACCCTTTCGTGCGCACATATTCATTTTAGAATATTCACCGTCCGCTCATGGGAAAATGTATAGTGAGCTACAAATATGAAATATTAAACTTAAGTGCATATTAGTGAACTTGATGAGAGGACTTATTTCATATATACACAGGGTAACAATAAAATGCATAGAACATCCCACTTATAAAAAAAACAAGCGCAAAAACACATAAAGAAATACAGGTGGCCAGCACACGTAAAGAATGTAACCTATGCCTTTACATATTGTACAAATAAATAAAAGACTAATTTCTTCCTATATCCGAACAAACCGATAAGTCAGCCTTCAGCACATCTATAAAAAGGCTATTTTTTTACTTAATTGTTTGGCGCACTCATTCAAGTTAGCGCTGACACTATTTCTGATGGACTTAACCTTGGTCAAATAAAAGTGCAGAAACTTTATCGCTCTCGTGGAGATTTTTGCTTTCAGATAGTTGCGTGTCGTTGTTTGAGAGCCGGTAAAGACCATTATGAGGTTTTTGCTCGTTTGGGTGGTTGGTGCTATAGCGGCCCCTTCAGCTGTATCCGCGCGTTTGGCAGGGTAGTCGCTTTCACTAGGGACGCCCCTTTGTGATCTGTGGCGCAAATCGCGAAAGCGCTACGTTCCGGATACTTGGCACCGTCCACGTATCGTGCTTGCCGGTCATTGCAGTGATTGTTCCGGACGTGGTTGACCCTTGCAAGTCGCCTTCCTCGATGAAGTTCAGGATTCATGTTGCGAGGGATGTACTGAACTTCC